AAACTCCCCCCCCCCCCCCCCCCCCGAAAAAGTCAGCAAGGAACGATTGGCCATCCGTGATCGGTCCTGTGGGAACAATGCTCTTTCCTTTCGCGAACGGGAGGTCAAGGGTCCAACCGTTACGGCACGCAAAACATAAGTACCCCCCTCCCGCCAGTACCGCTTTCACTTCCGCCTCGGCCTTCTGACGGCTGGCCTCCCCGGCCTCCCACATCGAGTGCGCCTCCTTTAGTTGTCGCCCCCTCGAGTCAGCGATGGCTCTGGCTTGCCGCAGGTCTTCAAGCAGATCTGTCAAGGACCTTCGGCGTGTTTTCGTTTCAGGGGGGGGGGGGGGTCACGGTGGCACCCCGGGGCCCCCAGCGTCGGGAGGACAAAAAAATGGGAACACAAGTCAGGGTCGGGAGGTGTTTTGGTACGCTGAGGATTGATTGATACATTGCTCGCAGCGCTTCTCAAAGCGGTCATACCTACCAAAGGGCTTGGTTGTACGCCCCTCCAGCATTCTAGCAACAAACCAAGAGAGACATCAAGCCTTCGCGCTTGGTGTGCCGCATGTGGGTGTCTCCGAACGCATGACACACTCCTAGCTAGCTAGCCCACTGCACACCGCGGAAACGCGATTCCTGCCGTCGGCCCCGTCCCGACGTCAAACCTACACACAGGGTAGACTTTGTATCTTCGAATCACCATCCACAACCACAAAAAAAAAAACATATCTTCATCACAAAACTCACACGCAGAGAAAAGCTTCGAATCTTTGAATCGCCATCCACAATCATGAAAACAAACATCCCTTCCATCATATTTTTCCTGCTCCCTCACCTGGGTCCACCCCCCGCACCCTTCTCCCCCTCCCCCCCACTGCCGGCGGCCTCCCAGGGCGCCGCGTCGGCGACTCCTCCTACTCCACCTTGCGGGCCCGCCCCCGTTCCGCCACCGCCTCCCCCCGCCGTTGCCGTCGCCGCCGGTAACGACCCTCGGCTTGCAGCGCGGGCGAGCGTACCGCTACCGCTACCGCCGCCCTTCCAAGAGGCACGCCGAGCGCGGCCGCCGCCGCCGCCGCGGTGGTTTCCACCTCTCCCCGTTTCCCCGTCTGCGCCGGATTCCTCCCCTGTGTCTGTGTCTACCTCCTCGCCATCGTCCTCTTCGGAGGTGTCGTAGTAGCTGCCAGAGTCAGGTTCCTGGGGAAGCCGTGAGTTTGGTGCGGTGGTGGTGATTTGAACATGTGGTTGACTGGTTGATCGATCGTGTGAACTTCGTTTACTGTCGATCGCAAGACACATGTTTATTTTTTTCAACCTTCTTTCCCCCTGCCGTGCTTGCCTTCGACTTTGAACGCGAACACCGTTCAGCACTCCCTACCCTCCTACACCATGTGTACTCACGAGCCAAATCGCTTTCCACCCCAGATTCGCAAATTGTTCACCCCAAAGACAGGTTCGAACTCACAGTACATCCAAAGCATCCCTTCCGTATCTGATCCTTCGAACGAACGACTACAGTACTTCACTTCAGCTGAATCGTCGTTCCTTTGGTCGAAACAAAAGACGGCTGGCCACGGAAAATGAAAACATGGTGGACCGACGTCTGCGAGAGCTCTTGTATCACCATCGTGTGCGGCAGAACCTGAGTGAGACACATATGCATAGGGATACCAGAGCTCTGCCGCCGACGCTTCATTCGATCGCGCCCCCCGGCCCTCACACGTCCGTCCCACTTTCCCACTTTCTCCTTCCCTCCCTCCTTCGCTGTAAACCTCTTTCACCTCGTGATCGTCGTCATGATCGTCGTCATCTTCTGCGCTGCTGCCGCTCCTCGACGTCGCGCTCGTCCCGTCCTCGTCGTAGGCGCTAGCAAAGTTAGCCGCCGCGGCCTTGAGCTCCAGGTAGTCTTCGTGCGCCTAGAGCAGTACGACACCGATCAAAACGGCGGCGAGCAAACCATGTACAGCAGGGGAAAGGGGCCGGAGGGTACTCATCGTCCATGCTCCACCGCCGTGGCCTTCAGTCATGGAGGGAGTATCCTTACAGACCCGAGGTGTGACGAAAGGCTCGTCCTAGTTCCTCCAAAACGACAGGCACTGCATACTTTTCGATTCGCCAACAGGGGAAGGTGAGGAATTTGTCCGGTGAGTGAGTCGCGTGTCGAAAGGAGGGTGAACTAAGAACCGCGTCTCCAGCATCCGCTGGTGATCGTGGGAGGCCGGCCTTCGGCACGTCTTACGTACAGTAGTTCTGCAGAACACTAGTTTGTGTTGCTGGGCTGGCAGCTCTCAACAACAGGGGCAAGGTGAAGAGCTGGACGAGACGAACACAAACATACCTGTAAAGTTTGCTTCTTAGGGGACAGGTTGCTTCACCACGACAAAAAACAAAACAAAAAAACGGTAAAAACACACAGCGTCGCACCTGGTGAGCCTTGGTTTCCTCTGGATAATCGTCGACGGTAACCCCGGGGCCCAGAGCCGCTTGCCTCCGCCCTCTCAGCGTTAGCGCTAGCACGTCCCGCTGAATGCTGACAAGACATGAGGGGGAGAGGACGAGGAGAGAGAGAGGCCAGCCACCGCGCACCAACAACATTGGCATTGGGTGAGTGGTATGGTACGGCAGCCTTGACACCACTCATATCATCCTCTCCTCTTTTCTCACGCTCCTACTGGCATCAGCCTTGACTCTACTCACAGCACCCTCTCTTCTGACGCCCCTAGCCCTTCCCTCGACACCACAAGACAAGCCTCTTACTCATATTCCCCTGTCCCTCACACACGGGAGCTGCATGGCAAGCGCCCTCTCGCTCTCACCCGTCCACCGCTCCCAGGAGCAGCACCACCGCGGGAGGAGTCGGCGCCTGGCGTACGCCGACGGCGGCCGCGGCCTCTCCCCCCTGCCCCCGACCGACCGTGAGCCTGAGCACCGTAGGCCGTGCCGGCTCCAGCGTCACCAGGACCCCCGGCGAGTACCTCCCCTCCGCCAACACCACCACAGCAGCCGCCTCGGCTCCGTCCTGAGAGGCCGCCGCCGCCGCCGCCGCCGCCGCCGCCGCCGATGGCTTGACACCATCGGCTGCGGCGGCAACCTCCCCCCCGGCTCCTGTCTCCTCCGTCGTCCCCCCGTCGCGTTTCTCCCCAGATCCTGTCGCTAACGCCGCCTCCGGCGAGCCTCCCGTGACGTCGTCTAGGGGCTGCACGGACGCCGCCGCCGCCGTTTCGACGGTGACACCGGGCGGCTCCGCTCCCGGGCTGTTGCCATCCGCGGCGGCGGCGGCATCGCCGGGTTCTGCCACCACTCGAATCTGAAAAAAAGCGCGGATGTGTGAAATAACACAAAAACGTGGCAACCGAAATCTGCGTGTGAGACGCCAACGCAAAATTACCATCGGCAAGTTTGCAGAAGAGAAACAACTGCCCTGTCCCCGCTAGTTAATATGTGGCCCCCGTTGAAGTGCACGCGCGCCGTCAAGGTTGTCATGCCCATGCTCTGAACTCGATCCACGCCGCCGCCAAAAAACTGCAGCACCAACCGGGTGCCATCATCATCATCATCATCATGACACCAACATACAACAACGATTGACAAACGAATTATCCTCATGTATAATGTGTGCAGGTGTCGTGTACAAGTCAGACAACAACAACACACCGATAGACAAATAAACCCCACCGAATAGACACACAAAACGAGCAATACTCCGCGCGTTGTTCTCTCTGTTCAAAACTGAACAGCGGATGTCAACAATGAGCGGTTCGTTCTGCGAGGGGAGCCAGAACAAGATTGCACAGAGTACCCTACGTGAAACAAGGTTGCCGAAAGAGCAAAGCAGCCGCACAGCATACGGGGCGATGATCAGGGACACGACGCGCGTAGTGTCCCCTCGGCCTGCTGTCTCCAACTCGTACTACGAACAGCGTGTTTCGCAGAAAAAGAGCAAGCTGCTGTGCGAGAAAGAGAGAAGAGAGGTACGGTTGATTGCTTGGCAATGGGGACTTCACCAAAAGAGCCACCCGCCGCCAGCAACAAAACTTGTCGCGGTTTGGGCGGAAACAAGACGTACACTGCTACCGTAAACGGTCCTCGAAATTCTCGGAATGCTTCGGTACAGGCTTCTCACGCGCTACCGAAATTCTCGGCACGGCTTGTGCAGACCCCCATACCCCACCGAGCATACCCGTACCCCAAACACACCCTTTGCAAAATGGTTGCTACATACCTGCTCTCGCCCGACCTCGACACGCACACGAACAGTCTCCCCCGGGGTGTCTCTCCTCACGAGTCCCCTGAACACTGCCGGGCCATCCGCCGAGAGAAGCTTGTCTACCTCCGCCCCGACCGGGGAGTCCAGGACTATGGGGCCCCCCTTGTGCAATGGAGGACGACGAACGATGCAGAGGCATGTGGAACAACGGCAAAAAGGGGGGGGGGGGGAGGGAGGAATGCCAAAGAGCGTTGTAAAAGGCAAAGAGAGAGTCGCGGAAGAAGCACGACAGCAACAAAAGGGGGGGGAATGTCAACGAGCGTTGTAAATAGCAAAGAGAGGGACTTCAACGAAAGGGTCAAACCGCCAGAGCGTTGTTGTAAAATAGAAGTCGACCGGTGTCGTAAAAACTGCTGGTACACTGCTGTACATACTATAGTTCCAAGAGGGCGCACGGGGACATCTGTTTGCGACGACGCGACCGTCACCAGCGCAGCAAAGCAAGCATGTCATCATCGCTGCATCGCAGCAATCTTCTGCCGCTGTAATTTTCTTGTACCGTCGGAGAGCATGACCGACGTCTACCCTCTGCCACTTCAAAGCTACGTGCCGCTCTGTCTGAAAAAATGCAAACCTCTCGGATACGAACGTAAAGCAATACACCCCAATGGTCCCCACATCTCCAAACACAGGTGGCGTACGCCAACATCACCTCCACCGCCGCCGCCGCCACCCTCGGCTCAGCCCCCCCCCCCTCACCTCAGCGAAGGAAACCTGATCTTGTTGCCTCTGGGGGCTCCGCGATCCTGACCTCCCCCCACCACGACCGTGCCGCCCACGCCTTCCTTTACCCCCATTCGTGGGTGACAGGAAGCCGCCGCTACCGGTACCGCCGAAGTTCAGAGCGGTCCCCGCGAGCGTGCACTTGATGCAGATGCGGGAGCCGAGGTCGTCGGCGCTGGGCTGGTAGTACGGGCCCTCGACGCCCTTGATCTCCGCAAACCCTCCGCCCGACGAAGAACGGAACCAAACCAGCTGCGTTTCGGTGTTGGCGCGAGCATCGTCGTTGGCGGTGTCAGTTGGGTGTCAGA